CGGCCGGAGGCCGCCCGCGCCCGGAACCGCAGACGCCACCGCCGCTTTGCTAAGCCCCGGTGTCGTTTGGGGGATTCCTGCTAAAAAGGCGGATTCCTGGGCCCATCCCCAGACCCGCTGTGTCAGGATAGTTGGACCTTGGAAGGGACCGGAAATATGCCTTTATACAAGCCAGCCGCGGGGATTAAAAATATTTACCTCTGAATAAGAGGCGTATTTTCGTTTAAAATTAAAATTAAAATTTCTTGTTAAAAATTAATATGTAAAATGTACGAAATATTAGAGTACGCTGTGAATAGAATTCCTTCTGCCCGTCCCTCTATCAACCAGGTTCCCCCCTACCATATCGCAGAAGATTCCTCAACACACTAAAGTCTGAGAACCCCTGTGACCAACACCTTCTGACTGCAAACACTCTATCCTCACGTACAGCTCCCCACAAATCCCTACTTTTTAAAAACAACAACAACAACAACAAAAAAAACAGAGTCTCACTCTGTTGCCCAAGCTGGAGCACAGTGGCGCCATCATAGCTCTGCATCCTTCAACACCTGGATTCAAGCAATGCTCTCACCTCAGCCTTCCAAGGAGCCAGGACTACAGGTGTGTGTCACCACGCCTGGTAATATTTTTTGTTATTTATTTTTTCTAGAGATGGGGTCTCGTTATGTTGCCCAGCCTGGTCCCCAACTCCTGGCCTCAAGCTATCTTCCCACCTCGGCCTCCCAAAGCGCTGGAATTACAGGCTTGAGCCACTGCATCCGACCTCACCTTTCCTTTTATCAGCACAAGCCTCATCCTCCTAAACGCCTCACCCTGACCCTCGGGATCATACTATTGTAAGGAAGAGACAGATCTGTAGCAGGAGTGCACTGAGCTCCCACGTGAGCCCAGCTTCGGCCAGGAGCTGGAGAGAAAATCCCAGCACAATAACAAGGGCTTTGACAGAGCACTTAGGATCCACATGGGGAGGCCCATCATATACCTGCACAAAACATAACCAAGACCCCTTGCATTATTATTATTATTATTATTATTTTTGCTGCTGTAACAAATTATCACAAATTTACTGACTTAAAATAACACAAACTTATTATTTTACGGTTCTGTAGGTCAGGAGTCCAAATAATGGTCTCACTGGGCTAAAATCAAAGGGACATCAGGGCTACCTTGCTTCTGGAGGCTCAGGGGAAAATCAGTTTCGTTGCCTTTTCCAGGTTCTTTTTTTTTTTTTTTTTGATACAGAGTCTTGCTCTGTCACCCAGGCTAGAGTGCAGTGGTGCGATCTCAGCTCACTGTAATCTCCGCCTCCTGGGTTCAGGTGATTCTCCTGCTTTAGCCTCCTGAGAAGTTGGGATTGCAGGCTTCCACCATCACACTCAGCTAACTTTTGTATTTTTAGTAAAGATGGGGTTTCACCATGTTGGCCAGACTGCTCTCGAACTCCTGACCTCAGATGATCCGCCCACCTCAGCCTCCCAAAGTGCTGGGATTATAGGCGTGAGCCCACTGTGCCTGGCTGCCTTTTCCAGCTTCTAGAGTGAGGCTACCCACATGCCTTAACTCCCACTTCCTCCTTCTTTTCCCTTCTAACGACCCCTGTGATTAAGGGGATAGTCCAGGATAATCTCCCCATCACAAGATCCTTAACTTCATTACATCAGCAAAATAAATCCCTTTGCTGTGGAAGGTGACATGTCCACAGGTTCTGGGATGAGGACGTGAACATCTTTGAGGGCCATTATCCCACCCACCACATCCCCTCTGGACCATAAACTTCATGAGCAGGGACAGTGCCAGTTTTGTTCACATCAACACCTAAAAGTGTGTCTGGCATATAATGACCCCTTAATAAATGTTTGTTGAATAGGTGAGTGTGAGTGAATGAAGGTAAGAATAAAATAAGAACAAAAGCAATTATACACAAGGAATCTAGACAGGGTGTGCTTAATTGCCAAACAAGGGATGTAAACCAGTGTTAAGCACATTTGCCTCACTCTAGAATAATCTGGGAGCTTATTTAAAAATAAAAAAATAAACCCAGCCCTACCCCTGCCTATTAAATTTTGAATCTTGGAGTGTGTATTTTAATGAGAAGTGATGTCAAGGCTGTGAGCTCAGCACCAGTCCTCCTTTAGGAGCCGCTGGTGGAGAGTAAGTGCTCGTCCTGTGGAGGAGGGAGCAAGCCCCGTGGTCCGGAGTGCATTGCCATGGATGGCTTCAGAGCTGGCCAGGATGGATGGTACTCCAGGCAGTAGGAACCACATGTGTGACGGCCTGGAGGGAAGAAATAATGTGGCCGCTTTGGGAAACTCTAAGTCATTTGTGGCTGGAATGTCAAGTTTGAAGGTGGAGTAGCGGGTTTGGAGATTAGAAAGGTTCTGAACATAAAGGACCTTGCATGCTCTGTTAAGAAGGCTGTCCCTCTCCCCTTGGGGCTGGGGGAGAAAACTTACAATTCTGTGTTTTAGAACTATGGCCAGAGTAATAGAGTGAAGGCGAACTGCCTGTGAAACACTAGAAGCAGAGAGATGAGTTGGACAAGTTTCACCCCACAGTGCTTTAATTACCATGTCTTTAAAATGGAGACTGCAGTAATACCTACTTCAAAGTGTTATGAAGAGGAGTGCTTGGAAGAGTGCCTAGCACATGGTAGATACTCAATAAATGTCAGGAAGTGGAATTAGTAGCAGCAGAAGGCTGCCATGGCAAGAGATGATGAGGGGCTTCAGAGTCGGTTCAGGCAGAGGCAGTGAGAATGGAAGAGAAGAAACTGCTTCAAGAGCTATTTCAGCTATCTGAACCTAAAGGTCAGGGGAGAATTCATTAGCTGAGCAGACAGAAGGAGGAGAGCAAAAATATTATGAGTGGACATATTGGGAGCATGAAAGAGCAGTGAGCAAGCTTGCTGTGCTGGAAAGTGAGACTGTGCAAGAAAAGAAAGAGAAATAATTATGCATAAGTAGTACTAGACCAGGTTGTACAAGGCTAAGGCCAGGCTTAAACGTTTTTTAAATTGTGGAGGCAATAAAGAGCTATTGCAGAGCATTAGGCTCAGGTGGGGTCAGAGGCCCAGCTTCACCATTTGCTGTGACCCTGGGCAAGTGCCCCTAACTCACAGATGTCCAATCCAATCGACTTTCTGCCTGGAAGAAAATATTCCGTATCTGCACCCTCCACAATGGTGGCCACTAATCACATGTGGCTATGGAATACTTGATATGTGACTAGTGTGATTGAAGAACTGAGTTTTTAATTGTATTTAATTTAAATTTATTTAAATTTAACTTATTTAATTTAAATCAATTAAATTAAATTTAATTAATTTAAGTAGCTGCACATGACTAGTGGCTACTGTGTTAGCACAGCAAGAACCTCTCAGGACTCCTGTTGCTCCATCTGTACACAGGGAATGATGATGATACATCATGGGCTTGTTACAAAGATCGAGATATATTGAGATACTACATTCAAAGTGCTCCACACAGTATTTCAACAAATTATTGCTGCTGCTGTTGAAATTGTTATTGTTATTATTGAACAGGGATTGCATGACATAGGCCAAGTCTTAGGAAGATTAATTAGACTATAATATCCAGTTAGATTTGATGTGGGAAAACTGTAGAGGATAAAGCATTCACAAGGTTATTTCAGTGATAAGGTGTGAGAGAATTAAGATCTTATCCAGTGGAAGACCTTGAGAAAGGGAAAGAATGGAATGATTGTTGAGCCGCAAAGCACATGGCTGTGCACCACTCATACACATCCTCTCAAATCAGCTTCCTTCCAAGGTATTCTCAGAGAGCACACTCCCAGCCCAGCCCAGGACAGACACCACTGTGACCCCTACAAGATGCACAGCCATTCTCCCTGCCTGCGCCAGAAACTACTAGCGCTCCACAACACACACCAACATTTGTGTATCTCTTTCTGGGCACAGGACCTCCCAAATTTGAACTACACTTCCCAGCTTCCTTGCAGTCAAACAGATGCCATGGGATCAAGTTCTGAACAATGGAATGAAGGCAGAAGCAATGTGTGCCATTTCTAGGCTGGACTCATTTGAAAATCTCCCATACAACCTGCATTCCCTCTTCCCATTCTGTGATGATTTTAGAGGCCATATGTAGCAATACCACAGAATGGAAAGAACCTAGCCTTGAATGAATGGATGGAGGAGAGCTACCCCTGTCCCCTAGACCCTCACTGGACTACAGAACGTGAGTGAGAAGTGTCAGTGGCTTTGTTATAGCTCAGTTGTTTGTTACAGCTAACCTTATTATCCTAATACATCATCCCTCATTCTACTGAAGGTCATCTAAACAGGTCCTATGTAGATTACCCATCTAAACCATCAATCCCTCTGAAGTCTCTTTTGAACTGGGTCCCACCAATACTAAGACAGATTTCTAACTCCCCATCTGTAGACATCCTGACTGCTGACATTCCTTTCTCACTCCTCCCAAAAACACACATTCCAGACATATCTTCTCTCACAATGCTAGGTCAAGGATACACCTACTGAGCTATCTTCCAGATGATTGAGTTTATTGGACATGCCAGGGCTTCCTCCTCTCTTCTTAATCCCAATGCAGAGAGACCTCTGATGTCCCTGGGGCATGTCCTTGTTTACTGTGGCTCAGACCCAAACCTGGGTGTTATCTCTGAGTCTTCTCTTTCCTTTGCTCCTACATCAAATTCATTACAAAATACAGTTGGATTTGCCCTGTCCTCCTTCTCCATTCCCTCTGCCACCCTAATCCAGCCACCATCATCACCACCTGCCTACCTGTAGCAGCCTCCTAACTGGTCCTCCTCTGTTCATTCTTCCCCCTCTGATCCTCTCTCCACTCAGCAGCTGGACCAATCTTTTAAAAATAATAACCATGGCCAGGTGCAGTGGCTCACGGCTGTAATCCCAGCACTTTGGGAGGCTGAGGTGGGTGGATCAACTTGAGGTCAGGAGTTTGAGGTCAGCCTGTCAACATGGCAAAACCCATCTCTACTAAAAATACAAAAATTAACCAGGCGTGGTGGCACGTGCCTGTAATACCAGCTACTTGGGAGGCTGAAGCAGGAGAATCACTTGAACCTGGAAGGTGGAGATTGCAGTGAGCCAAGATCGCACCACTGAACTCCAGCCTGGGCCACAGAGTGAGATTCTATCTCAATCAATCAATCAATCAATCAATCAATCAATCAATCAAACAACCAGAACATGGTACTCCCCTGCTTCAATCACTCTGATAGCTTCCACAGCACTTAGAGTAAATTGATCGGGGTCTTGCTGGCTCCAACCAGCCTTACTCACCCTTGTTCATTTTACTTCAGACACATTGGCCCTCTTTCTGTTTCTCAAACGTGCCACACTTGTTCCTGTCCCAGCTTTTTTGTGCTTTGTGCCCGGAAAGCTCTTCTCTGAGTGTTTATAAGATTGATCTCTCATTCAAGTCTCAGCTCAAATGTTACCTCCTCAGAGGATTCCTCGCTCTGTTTTATTTCCTCCACAGCACTTACCACGACAAAAAATTGTATTTATACTTTCCACCCCTACTCCTGCTGTCCCTATTGGAACATAATCTCCAGGAAGGCAGGGTAACTGACTCGTCCTGACTCACTGGGGACTTTTCCAGTTTTACCACAAAAAGTTCCATGTCCCAAAAGACCCCTCAACATAGGGTCAACTATGATAGTTATTCACTTTACGCCTACCTTGATCACTTCTGTATTCCCAGTCGCTAGTATAACGCCAGGCGCCTAGGTAGGAACTCAATAAATATTCATTCAATACATATGAAAAGAAGGGCTCAATGTCCTAAAGAATTCTTTGATCCTGGCTCTAGGGGGCAGCCTTCCCCAACCTTGTGCCTGAACAGACAGCTTTGCAGGTTGGGCTGGTAGCTTGTGTACATAGGTAGTTGAGTTCCACAGGATTCTCCCTAGACCTTATGTGGTCCCCTTGCCGCCCCACAACCCACCCCCCCA